CAGAGAGAGACAGAGAGACAGAAAGCGAGAAATCAGCCCCCAGGGGGGATGGCCATGCCACAATCCCTTCTCCTCCATTCTCCTCTGGGCACGCACGCACATGCACCTGGCATGAGTTTAAGCCACCGGGTCCGGGACGCAAACCGTGGTCGACTACATGGGAGTCCAGCAACATAGCCATTACGCTAACTGCTGGTCCCAAGGCAATTCATATATTGAGATATTTGGATTTCTATGTTTATTGCACCACTATTTACAAAAATAATTAATTAATTAATTAATTAAAGGGGTAAGGCAGTTGGATCCCACATAGCTGACTGTGCAGTTGAATCCTAAACCCAGTGGCTTGAAAAGCACTCTGGGCCTGTGTCCATATATACTGAAATCCCAAGAGAAGAGTAGAGGAGAAGGCATTGTGGTGTGGCCTCCTCCCTGGGGTGCATTCTCACTTTCTCTCTCTCTCTGCCTGTTTCTCTTTAGCGAGCACATATGCCCTATAGCAAAATTGTTCTAAAAAGTAAAGAAAAGAGACAACGAGGTGGGAAAACACTACAAATATGACAGATAGTAATTCAATACATTAATTAAAAGACAGAACTTGTCAGAATGAATGAACAAACAAACCCAATTACATATTGTCTATAAAAACCCTATTTCAAGTATAGAGGCATAGATAGAGTAAAGGCAGAGAGATGTAGATGTAGTATTTAGGATGTCAAATTAGTAGTACGTTAACAAAAATCAAAAGAAAGCTGGAGTATCAATTCTAGAAAAAGTAAACTACAGAGCAAGGAAAATTATCAAGGATAAAGAGAATCATTATGTAATGATAAATGGGTCAACTCTAAGAAGACATTAACAGTCAATGCAGAGAATCAAAATATGTGTGGTAAAAATGTATAAAACTGCAATGAGAAATAGATAAATTCATTATTCCCGTTGAATTCTTCTACTCTTTATGTAACTGGAATCCAGCAACAGAAAAGAGTAAAGACATAGTTGCACTAAACAATACCATTACTCAACTGGATCTAATTTACATGCTAATACAACAACAGAAAAATACACACAACTTCTCAAGCTCACATGAAATACTAAGATCGACCATATTTTAGACTTTCAAACATACCTCAACAAGTTCAAAAACTAAAAAGTGTAAAAGTATCCTCTCAAACCACAATTGAATTAAGCAAACAAAAAATCAATAACAGAAAGATATCTGAAAAATCCAAAATATTTTGAGATTAAACAACACACTGAAGATAGCATTTTAAGTATTTTAAACTAAATGCAAATAGAATACAATTTATCAAAATTTACGGTATGCAGTGAAAACAATGTTATAGGAAATATATGGAATTTAAGACATATATTAGAAAATAAGAAATATATAAAAGTTATTATTCAAATTTCCAGCTTAGTTAGTTAGAGAAAAATAACAATATAAAACTAATGCAAGCAGAAGAGAATAAGAAAAATTATAGCAGAGATCAATGAAATTAACAGGAATCAATAGAGTAAATTAATGAAAACAAAAACTTCTTAGAAAATATCAATAAAATTGATAAGCCTCTACTCAGGGTAACAGAAAGAAAAGGAGATAGAAATTACTAATATCAGAAATGGAAGAGCGATTGAGAACAGCAGTTAGCGTAATGGCTCTGTTGCTGGATTCCCATGCAGTCAACCGCGGTTCGTGTCCCAGACCCGGTGGCTTAAAACTCAGGCCAGGCGTGTGTGTGTACATGCCCAAGATCCCAAGAGGAGAACGGAGGAGAAGGGATTGCGGTGTGGACATCTCCCCTGGGGGGTGATTTTTCGCTTTCTGTCTCTCTGTCTCTCTCTGTCTAGCGAGTGCATGCACCCTATAGCAAAAAACCGTCAAAATAAATAAATATATAGAAAGAAATGGAAGTGCGATCATCACTACTGACCTTGTAAACATTAAATGGATAATAAAGTAATATTTATGAGAAACTCTATACCCACAAATTGAGTAACTTGGATGAAATGGACTAATTCCTTGAAAGACATAAACTACCAAGACACACTAAAGGACAAGTAGGTAATCTTAATAGGCCCATATATATTAAAGTAATTGAAACAGATAGTTAAAACCCTTGCAAAAAAAAGAAAGAACCACAAACAAATCATTTCACTGGTAAATTCTGCCAAACTTTAAAAAAGAAATTATACCAATTATTTATAATCTCTTGCAGATAGAGGAAATACTTCCTAACTCATTCTATAAGGCCAGCATTATCCTGATACTGGAACCAGAAAAAGTTTTGTAAGGAGCAAATAGAAAAAAAATGTGTGAAAGGAAAGAGTTTTTCTAGACAAAGATAAAACAAATCCAACTCTGTCGTGTTTACAAAAGATACAATTTAAATATAAGGCCATAAAAATATCTAACATAAAGAGATGGGAAAAATTAATCATCCATACAGTATTCAAAAGAAGGAAATGAAACATTACTTGAGATAAAAGGGGCCATATCATAATGATAAATTCATCGACATATCAATGACCTACAATAATTCTAAATTTGCATGTAACTATAACAAATCTTCAATATATTAAGTGAAATGAAGAATTAATGGTGAGGGGCAGTAGATGGTATAGCAGTTACAGTGCTGGTCAACTGCAGTTCGAGTCCCAGACCTGGTGGCTTGAAACTCATGCCGGGCATATGTGTGCATGTTAAGATCCTGAGAGAAGAATGGGGAAGAAATTGTGGTGTGGCCATGCTCCCTGTGAGGTGATTTCTCACTTTCCCTCTCACTGTCTCTGTCTGTCTCTCTCTTTCGCTCATGTGCGCTAAGGCAAAAACCTATTTTAAAAAAATAGAATTAATCATGAAATAGACCAATTCATAATCATAATGAGAAATTTAATATACATATCTCATAATTGGTTAAATAAATAGACATTTTTAAAAAGCAATAAAGATATAAAGGATTTGAACAATGTGGTCAACCAAGTTGACTAAATGAAAATATAAAGAACATTGTGCTGAACAACTGCCAAAGCCAGATGATTTTCAATTACACATGGACATTTTTTAGATATTAATCAAATTCTGAGTCTAAAAAACTTCAATACATTTCAAAAACTTGAAATCATTCAGAGTATGTTGTATAACTATGGTGGAATAAACCCAGATATCAACAAGTAAAAGATAATTTGAAAATCCCCAGATATTTGGAAATTATGTAACACATTTATAAATAAATTATAAAGAAAAAGTGTGAATGTAAAATTCTAAGTACTTTGAACTACATGATAATAAAAATGCAATATAAAACAAAGTTGTGGGATGCAAATAAAGTAATGCATAGAAAGAATTTTATAGATATAATACATATGTCTGTAAAGGAAAAAGACTAAAATCAATTATCTAAATGTCCATTTCAAGAACATAGAAAAAGATGGGAACCAGCAGTTAGCGTAATGGCTATGTCGCTGGACTCCCACGTAGTCGACCGCGGTTCACGTCCCGGACCCAGTGGCTTAAAACTCATGCCAGACACGTGTGCGTACGTGCCCAAGATCCCGAGAGGAGAATGGAGGAGAAGGGATTGCAGCGTGACCATCCCCCCTGAGGGGTGATTTCTCGCTTTCTGTCTCTCTGTCTCTCTCTGTCTGGTGAGCCCACGTGCCCTATAGCGAAAATCTCTCCAAAAAGAAAAAAGAAGAAGAAGAAGAACATAGAAAAAGAACAACAAAATACACCAAAATGAAATATAAGGAAGTAAATAATAAAGATAAAAACAAATTAATGAAATAGAAAACAAGCATTGAGAAAAAATCAATAAAGCCAAAAACTGTTTCTATAAAAGTCTAAACAAAATTATTAAGCCTCTAGCAAGAATGATTAAAAAGAGAGTAGCATATTATAAGGTATGAAATAGTGGACATTCCTAAGGATCCTACAAACATTAAATATGCAATATAAAGATAAACTGATACAAAAAGAGATGAAAAAAAAATTTTTTTGGAGAGGTTTTTCGCTACAGGGCGCGTGCGCTCGCCAGACAGACAGAGAGAGACATAGAGACAAAAAGCGAGAAATCACCCACCAGGG